CAGGAATACCTTGCATTCCATATATTTCGATGTCAGTTGATTCTCTACCAGGTTTAGCATTCGGAACCCTGACATAGAAATATAAAATACCAAATTAGTTGCATTACATAACTAACAAGAAGAAAAAGTTGCGAAAATAACAACAGTTAGTTGAATTTCAGTCCTCTTTTCTGAATCTCTACAAAACCCAAAGATTGAAACTTTATGAAACCCTGAAGACACGAAGCGGAAGGGCTTACTGAAAAGTTACCAAATTTTTAACACGAAATCTTTACCAAACCCCACTTAAAAAACAAATCAAACTAGCCAAAGCAAACAACTTAAATGTCAACTTCCACTAACATCGATAGAGAACATGCATCCCAACGGAAGAAGCAGATCATATGAGGTTATACAACAGCAAACCCTGAAAATTAATCCAAGAAATCCTACTGAGCAAAGCAGCAAATTCTCCTAAAAAAACTGCACCACAATCTACTTTGAGTCAAGTCATCGGGTGGATTCCTCAAGAAATAACACAGAATTTTATGACAATATCACTGAATTCAGATTAAAAGAAGTTAATCAACAAAATCAACCCATAAAAAAACCAGCAGAATAGGTTCTAATGGAAACTAACCAAACAAAATTGAAACATCGGTACCAACTCCAAGAACAGATTAGCAGGCGAATAATTTGAAGAAAACCAATCAAACTAAGAACCAGACCGAAGAGATAAAAAAGGATACATACTTGGTTACATTCTCCTTATGAACCTGAAGGACATGGATCACCATTCCTCCAGCAGTGGAGAGTTTCTTATGGCAGACATGGCACTTGAAGTGCTTCGCCTTCTGGTGTTGCACCAGAATTTTCTCGTCGTCGAACTCTCTGTCGCAGTAGTAACACCAGACCTTCTCCGTCGCCCTCTTCTTCTTCTTTCCCATCTCTGTCCCTTTAGCGTTCCTTCTACCTACGATCCCTACCACTCACGAGCTCTCTGTCGTCGTCTTCTCCTTCTGTCGCTAGGGTTTGTTCTGCGATCCCTTTGATCTTTTTTTTTCCAACAGTATTTTTTTTTAATTTCTAGCTCGACTTTCTCCTCGTATTTATACGATAAAGAACTTTATTTTGGACCCCAAAGTTCACTGGAATTTTCAATTTGGCCCCTATAAGTTTTCTTATCACCAATAAAAGCAATAAACTTTAGGAATGTGCAATTCTATACACGACTCCCACTCTTTTAACATTTCTCACCAACTGAACAGAACCTCCACAAATCATTAGTGTCAAAAGAGGATGATGTTTTATGTTTTCTCACACATTTAGCAAACGAAGACAATTTTTTTTCATATAATTGTGATGAATAGCTGAAAGGCAAAATTCTAAAACAAAAGTGATTAAATTTAAAATCCAACGGGTTCGTAAAATAATCTGAATACAACCAAACAAACACTAGAAACTCCTGTTGTGAGAGGTTAAGGATGGTACCATGTGTTTGGCTTTAGGAGCAACAAACTTTACAAGTACTGTCTCTTTGATGAATCATGAGAGGCAAATACTCAGTAATATAAAGAAGCTAAATCCAAATTTGGTTGACAATAATTAATAATGATGAAGAAGAAGAAGACCTATTCCAACGCTTTTTCTTCAGAAGAGGAGCTGGTACTGCTGGTACTACATCCGAACTCGAACTCAAATCCAAGCAGGGAGAAAAAAATAATAAATCGTACCCGAAAGCCCCCCCCCCCCCCCCCC